CTCATCGACAAGACCAACTCGACCTGTGAGCAATTTGGTATGAAAATAAATATTAAAAAAACCAAAGTGATGTCAATCCGAAAAAACCAAAACGTACCTCAACCTTGCACAATAAATGGGCACATCTTAGAAGAGGTCAATAGATTTAAGTACCTGGGATGTTGGATCGATAGCAGCCTAAATCCTGATCAAGAAATAAGATCGAGAATAGAACAGGCTAGAAAATCCTTCGAAAAAATAAAAAAACTGCTTTGTGATTCTCGAATAAAACTCGAAATTCGACTACGTTTATCAAAATGCTACGTCTGGTCGACTCTTCTATATGCAGTTGAAACGTGGACCCTTAAAACATCAACCGTAAATAAATTGGAGGCCTTTGAAATGTGGATCTACCGGAGAATACTCAAAATTTCATGGACATCGCATACCTCAAACGAAGAAGTGCTGCATAGAATAGGCAAGGAAAGAGAACTTTTTAACACAGTAAAAGTAAGAAAAACATCATACCTAGGCCACATACTGAGAAATAATAAGTACCAATATGCCCAACTTATAGTGAAAGGAAAAATCGAGGGAAAGAGAGGCCTAGGAAGGAAAAGACTATCATGGCTCAGAAACATCCGACAATGGACAGGGCTAAATTTTGAACAGCTAATAAGGACAGCTGAAGATAGAGAAGAGTTTAAAATTGTAGTAGCCAACCTCCATTGAGGAGAGGGCACTTTAAGAAGAAGAAGGTGTATTTTTATTACTTGTGTTGCATTCAGCAGCGTCATAATTTTGTTGTTGAATATATTGTTTTATGTATGTATTTTATTTGTCGGCTCCTAACAAGTTCCCTGATAAAATAGTAACTCTGAATATATGCTTTTTATCTGTAAGTTTCTTAGGAAAGTAATATATTTATTATTTGTTTATATATTGTGTTGACCAAATTTATTTGATAATTAACTGTTGGTATCTTTCCTTGGGTTTGATCTCTGAACCTAAATATCTTTCCTTGTCTCTTTTCTTTTCTAAGGTTTCTTAATTTTCTCCTTAACCCCAAAAAATTCTAAAAAATCTTATCGTATCTTTGGTAATTTTACCCATCTATCTTTTTGGTTATTTTTGTATCTTTTCTAATATCTCTTATCCTATATTTACTTATTTCGTCCGTTGGACCCATTCCCGATTCCAAAAGCTAGTTTCGAACCCACAACTCGCTCTTCACCAACCATCTGGCTGCGTCCGCAGTGTCTCCATTGGTTATCTTTCTAGCACCATCCAAAAAAGATTTCCGAGGTTGCAATCTATAGGTCACAACATATAACAAAGTAATATCATTGCAGTAAAAAAATATTTTATTCCTTATATTATAAGAAAACTAACAAAATTTAAAATAAAACTATAAATCTAATAATACAAATAAATATGTTAGCAAGCTGAGTGATATTTAACAAAACAAAAATTTTTATGTGGACGCTTTTCACATTTAGTACACTCTAAGCGTGCGTTTCTTTGGCATACAGCACATCTACCTTGTGATGTACTTTTAGAAATATGATTTATTCCATTAAATCGTATATCTCTAAGAACTGACAAGTTGGGCCACCTTTTCTTTTTCTTGAGCTTGCTGCAACTTTGATTAGTGCCGTAGCAACATTTCTTCGAAAATCCAAATGAGTTATAGTACTTTCAGGATTTACGTGTTGGTAGAAATGTAATGCTACTACCGCTAAATTTAAGGAGTGACAAAATAAATTCCGCCACCATATTTTTGATCTTTGTGTGACTAGCACACATTCTATCGCAAAGGTCGACACCACTCATTCCAAAATTGTACTTAATGATCAAATTTGCTTGTGGAACTTCTTTTTTATTTTTAGATTTTACTCTTCTTGTTGCATTTTGGAGCGGACTGATGGAGAAATGATTGCTTGCTATTGTAACTGCAGCGGTACCATCGCATTTGTAATCACATATTCCCCGATCTCGCTTTTTTATTGTTTTTGATGATACCAATGGACATTTATTTATTCTGTTTTCACGCACACTTCCACATGCCCGAATACCTCTATCACACAAGCTTGTCAAGAGTGAATAACTGGTGAAGAAACTGTCAAAAAATACATTATGGTTGTTGGGGCTCTCAATTACTTCTACTAATATTTTATTTACAACGTGGGGACCTAAAAGCATCTTTTTATCTATTGTTTTACCGCAGTATATTTCTAAATTATAGTGAATTCATTTATGCTGAGATTTTCATGGAAAACTCCAAATTTTTTGAAATTTTGTTTCAGCATATCATACAATTCTGCAACTTTTGCAACTTTATTACCAACTGCAAGGTTGGCATTATCACAAATATGAAGATAACGTTTTTTAAGTCAGAGACTTTGCCGACTCATTATTTTAGAAAAAATTGGAGTCTGCATGTCATCTGCAGTAGACCAGTAATCATCCTCAGAAGGAACATGGTGATATCTGCTTATTAAAAGTAACCCCAAAAACTGACGAAGTTCTTCCTCAGAAACAGTAAAGTTGTGAAATTTTTATCTCTGTGAGCGTAGAGTTCGGTATTATGACGAATAAATTGAACTATTTCAGATGTGAAAAATAATGAAAACATTTTGAACTCAGATTTGCCCAAGTGTTCATCGCCTACTCTTGGTGGTGTGGAAGCTTGAGCTTGAATTCTAACCTTCTCACTTTTTTCCATTTACGTTGAATCGATACATTTTCTTTCTTATCTTCGTCGGAAGATTCATAAGCGTGAATTTCTACTTCACCGGATATTTCGTCTGGTATATCAGAAATATCTGATCTTCAATAGTATCCTCGTCGATTCAGTACCTTGATCAGCTGAATCAGGTGGAAGAATAACAATATCCACTGATTCTGCGAACGTTGAAGCTTCCATATCGTCGAATGCATGTATTAGAAATCTATGTCTTCGTATAGATGATAAAAGTATATAAAAATATATCTAAGTATTATGCTTTTTTTTACTGCCACCAACTTACCCATAAAAACTTTTTGGGTCCAAAGATATATCCATTTTTCCACTAAAACAAAACTAAAACTCAAAATTATTATAAACACCACGTGTTTTCTTCTAGCAAGCTCGTGACGACTAATCCAAGCCGTTACAATTATGCGCGGTCATTCTCTAGGGAACCTTCTATATAAAAAAAATAAAACTTATAGAAAATTAGTAACTTTCACTAGTAAGTCATTAAATTTTTAAAATAATAAACTGCATATAATCCAAGTAAATATAAAGTATAATCTGGTACACTTCTGACCTGATATTATTATGCTTTTTTACTATACCCTGTATATATATATATATATATATATATATATATATATATATATATATTGATGGCACGCTATATAAATTATATGTACCTACTATACGTCTCACATCGTTTGATTTAATGTGTCATATGCTAGTAGTTTATTTTGTTATCAGTCAGAGTCCCTTTTTAGGTCAATAAAGCAAATTTACATTATATTTACCTTATGCTTTATATGTCTATTATGTCTATTATGCTTTATATATAAAGCGAATATGTGTCATGTGATATGTTGTATGTTGCTATACGTTCATTAATAACAAAGACGATGTGTAGTGTCCTTTTGGTAGTCTCTTTGTTTGTTTTTCTATCTTAATATATTCGTTAAATCCTCCCCTTTCATTTGCTATATCGCATGTTAGGATTCGTTCAGTTGTTTATTTCGTACTCAGCCAAAGGCCTTCTTCGAGTCAATATTTGTCTTTTAAGTTAAACTATTTTTATCCATAGTGCCCTATGACATCTCGTATGTGACTATACGTTCATTAATAATGAAGACACTGTGTAGTGCCTTTTGGTAGGCACTCCAATCGAACCAATAACAAAAGAGAATATATGCAATGCCGCAATGTGTGTTTTTTCTATCCCAACATATTCGCTACTCCCTCTTGTTTCTAACGATGTATCATACATCACGATCCGACGAACTATTCTAGCCCCACCACTAAATGCTTAAAAAATGAGCAGAATGATCCTTAACATTTTCTTATAGGATTTTACATGCAAAGTGAACCAAAAACGGTATAGCAACGTTTTTGCAGGTATAGCTTTTACTTAATTTTATTTAATTTTACTTAAGTTTATTTAATTGTTATTTAATTCTACGTAATTCTGTTTAACATGATTTAATTTTATCTAATTCTAGTTACCTTTATTTAATTTTATTTAATTACGTTTGTTAAACGTCATTTTATGTTTATAGTAAGTTTGTGTGTATCTTACTCAGGGACATATAATAAATTTATATTATACGTCATTGATCTTACCTTACAATTATAATATAATATGATTCTAATTACTAATATTTGAATAATTTTTTGTAGAATAATTAGCAATAAATCAACCGTATCGTTTCAATATCAAAATATGATTGAAATGTTAAATATTGGTAGTTCAGATTTCTTTTCTGGGTGGCGCCGTTACCTTACTGAACAAACGGTGTGACCTGTTATCATAGCCTTTTATATGGATAGATTATAAAAATCATAAAAAATTATAAAAAAATATAAAAATTAAATAAAACTAAACAATAATAAATAAAGTTAAAATATATATATATATATATATATATATAATATATATATATATATATATATATATATATATATATATAAAATTAATTAAAATGAACGAAAGTTTATTTTAGAAATTTTATAGTCGTTTATATACAAGTATTTACAAAAGTTTTTAATGACAACCAACATGAAATAATTAAGCATAGATAGAAGATAATAATAAAAATGTAAATGATGAATAAATTTTTTTTTATTTTAAAGAACTTCTGTCGGCCCTCCCCAAGTGCCACGTTCTTTGTTTTTATTAGGTAAATAAACTATAATTTGTTTCTATGAAACCATTATTAAATATGTACGAGTTTGATAATATATAACTATGTCGTAGGTATGTAGGTATAACTGTGTAATATATTTTTTTCAGTTCGACTCGAAGGGTCAAAACTTCCTTCATATAGCCTTAAAAAAGGGAGACATTGAAAGTGCCCTATTTTTACTAACAGTACAAGTAGACGTAAATTCTAGAGTACAAGATCCAATGCTAACGCCACCGATTCATTTAGCTGCTAAACATGGGAACGAAACATTAGTTAGGAGTTTAATTCTAGCTGGTGCTAGAGTAGACGATAGGGATGCTCAAAGGTAAGCATAACAAACATATACATCACAAACACAAACGCAACACGAGCACAAATACACCATGACTATTTTTTCCAATGCTTCAATTTTGTTCATGATCGATACTTTTAGCGTCTACACTTCTGCACTATATAAAAGTACGGACCAAACATAGCACTTAACCGTTCTTTGTCTTAGTTCTAAACTGAGATGATAATTGCAAAGAAATGACTTCATTTTCATAAAAGTAGTTTTAGTCATTACTATTCTACGTTTTATTTCTATGTCTAGATCTAGTTGGTCCGTTATCACAGTTCCCAAATATGTCATTTTGTGAACTTTCTCAACTTGGACTCCGTTTAATTGAAGCTTTGCATCGGGACGTTGGTCACGACTAATCGCTAAAAATTTGGTTTTATTCGAGTTTATTTTAATGTCCATTTCCTCTCCTCCCTCGTTAATACGATCAAGCAGAATTTGGGGACCTTCAATATTATCTGACAGAATTACTGTATCGTCTGCATATCTAATCACATTGAGTAGTTCCCCGTTGATTTTTATTCCATATGGTTGTCTCTCAAGTGCCTTTTTAAATAACTGGCCCGAGTAAACATTGAACAATGTTGGCGACAAAATGCAACCTTCAACTTTGTCTGACTTCTCGTTGTAAGGAGATTTCATCGGTGTAGTTATCTCCAATTCTTACGATAGCAGTTTGATTCCAGTACAACTTTTTAATGACACGAATATCCTTGTCATCTATTCCGATATTTTTCAGTATTTGCATAAATTTTACATGCTGTACTTTATCGAATGTTTTTTCGAAGTCCACGAAACATGCAAATACATCTTTTCTTTGGTCACGGCATTTTTTTAATAGGATGTTAAGCGCAAAAAGTGCCTCCCTGGTTCCCATAGCATTTCTAAAACCAAATTGAGTATTTTTGAGATCTTCTTCGCATTTGCGTCTAATTCTGTTGTGAAGTATTCTTAGGAAAATTTTAATAGCGTGGCTCATTAGGCTAATTAATCGCTATTAATATTAAGATGGATTTGAGCCAATCTGTGGGAATCACTCTGGTGTTATATATTGAATTAAAAAGTCTTACTACTATTTTTATGTTAACATCCTCTATTAGTTTCAGCAACTCAGTTGGTGTATGACAAACCACAAACTTTTTTAAGTTTAGCATTATTTATAGCGTGTTCTACCTGTCATCTTCAAACAACTCTGATATATACAGCTTTATCATATAGTTCGACCAAATCCTTGGTAGGATCCATATCAATGTCTTTCAATGACTTTCCCTTATATTGAAGGCCCTGACCCTTAACAAATAACACAAGTATCTTTGTCATTTGGTAAGCGTCCTGCGTAATTCTAAACAAGTAACAAAAAAAGAAAAAATCAGTACAAATTTCGCAATGACGTAATTCACACTAGAGGAAAAAATTATTAAAAATAAAAATGTTTACCTTATATCGGATTTTAGAATTTCTATTCAGAGTACTACGTAGTCTGATACTACTTTGATTACTACTATTTCTGTGTTATCTGACAAAACACATATAACACGAACTGTCACTTCAATTATTGTCGTTGTCATTAGTGCAAAATTCTGCTGTTAGCTTTCTTTGCACCTCGATATTTTGCTTCATGTCTTACTTTCAATGAAAATTCTAATGAACATCCAATATTATTCACAAATGATTTATTTGAATAATAAATTTTTAAGTATTAATTAGTAGTAAGTAGCAAAAAATCTAACAAAAATATCAAATCAATAATTAGTATAACTTACTCGTAATATTCCCTGTGTGTGTTTTCGGTGTGCCCCTAAATTGTGCGAAATGAGTGCATTCTTCTTTCGATAAATTAATTATTTACATTACTGTTGCTATTCGTTTACGTAAGCGATTAGACGTCAGTGCTACAGGGTTTTCTGCGCCAATCACATTTGCAAATTTTCTGATTTGCTCATTTGCTCTAACCGACTGTGTTTTAGAGCTAGGATAAGAAAACAGATACGGCTTTTCCTTAGATAGCATATTGGCTTCATTTCTAATTTACAGTGATAAGCCGATATATGCTTGTACATTTTTTGGAAATACATAGTATAATGTAGGTCTATGGAGTACCCCGAAGGATCCTCACGGACCAAAGCACAACGTTTATGGCAAGAATATTTAAGGAAACAAGTGCATTGCTGCAAATAGAGCAACTAAACTCCACAGCATATCACCACGAGACAATTGGAGCTTAAGAGAATACTCATAAGCATTTAAATGCGTATCTGAGAATACAACTGTCAAAATTCCCGACAAGTTGGAGCACGTGGGTACAATACTATTGCTTTGCATACAACATTTCGGTACATTCAACAACAGGTTACACGCTGTTTGAATTGGTATTCGGAAAAACCTGTAGACTGCCGACAAATGTACAGAACGAGATGGAACGGCTATACAATTTTGACGCTTACCCTTTAGAGCTAAGATACAGACTGCAAACAGCAACGAAAGAGGCCAGAGAGACGTTAACAAGTTCAAAACAAGCCGGTAAAAGAAAATAAGATGCCAAAACAGGCATAGCAATATATAAACAAGGAGAAAAGGAAAGATTCATATTCTAAACTAGATCCTTTGTTTTCGGGTCCATACACAGTTATCGAAGATAAAGCACCTAATATTATTATAAATAAAAAAATAAATACAGGGTAAACAATAGCGCAAAGTGTAAAGTGAAAAGTAAATAATTTTTTTTTATTTTTAAGAGAAACAGACTATATATACCTTAACACCAAACTTTCATTTTTTTTTTTCGATGGGAGGTGTATAGTAAGGGTATAAACCCTTACATTGTAATGTTATATATAATATCTTAAATCATATAATATTGAATCTACGTATCACATAGATTCAAAGTCCGATAGGGAAACCCAGAGAGAATATATAAAACGCGAAAGAGATTTATTATTGTATATTTACTGTTCGAGATGTGTACATAACGTAACAAACTCCTCGTAGAGCTGTAACAATGTACAGTTGCGGTCACGGAATAGTTTACAGGTTCACGTATCTAGGAGCCCATTTTTTAAATTTTTACTTCGTTTAAACGCACCTTTTACGTCAAAGTGACGTTGCCAATGGTGTACTAGCTAGAATAGGTAGATTAAAATTAAAATATTAAAATATTTTACAAAATGAAAAATATAGAAAACAGTTTTTTGAATAAAATGGATTATGATCTTAATAACGAAAATAAAGAAGTCTTTTTTTTTAATATGCATTTTATTTTAAATCTATTTTATATTAAATAACGATAAACAATGATAAATAATAATTAATATTTGGTGGAAGCCCCATTCTTGTCAATACAATTTTGCAGTCTTCTGTTCATAGATAGCACCAATCCCCTCATGTTATAGTTAACAAGCTCTTCCCATGCCTGCTCAATTGCTTCCCATAATTCAATTCTATTCCGTGGTCTAAGGTTTCTTTCATTTAGTTTCTTTGTTAACTCTGCCCACACATTTTCGACGGGGTTAAAGTCTGCACTACGGGAAGGCCACGGAAGAACATTAACATCAGTTTCTTCTAGCCATTCTCGAACAATTCTACTCGTATGCACCGGGCAATTGTCATGTTGGAAGATAAAGTCGTTGTTGGGGAATCTCTGGATCACCGATGGCAACATTGTGTGCTCAATAGTATGTTTGTAATATAATCCTGTTAACTTCTCCTCTACATGATAACAAACGCCCGGGCCTTCGGCACTTATCCATCCCCATACGTTGACAGAGAATCCTCCACTATTTCTTAAATGATGCGTATACTGTTCATCATACCTATGATTTCTCGGCCTATAAACTCTTATTCGACCATTATTATACGACTGAAATACTTTTTCATCGGAAAATACAACCCTAGACCAAAAATTCTCATCGCGGTTTATAAATTCATTACAAAATTCAACTCGTCTCCTCTTGTGATCCTCAGTCAAAAAAGGTTTCCGTGCAGCTACACAATTTAGCAGTCCACTTGCTTTAATTCTTCGACGTGCAGTGCGAATACTGCCTGGAAACGCTGCCTCTTCTCTTGCCTTTTGAGCTGTGGCAAAAGGAGATTCTCTCAAATAATCTACTAACATCTCATCCTGTTGATCTGTGGAAATCTTCTGCCCTCCTGAACCGCCCAACCGTGCTATAGAGTGAAAATTATCCCATCTTTGTTTAATCTTCCATATGCACATATGACTCACGTTCAAATCAGCAGCAACTTGCCTTAGTGACCAACCTTCTTCGAGTTTGGCAATTGCTCTTGCTTTTTGCGCATAATTCAAATGTATTCTAACCATTTTGGAAGAGTTTAATATACTTTTATTTTATTGTTGAACACTCGCGAAAGCATTGACGTTTTGAAATTTTTTGACTTTGACATTTATCAAATCCGTACGACACTGCAATTTTACAGTATTACAATATAAAAAGTAAGGTGTAAACTATTCCGTGACCGCAACTGTACGTGTATAAATTTAAATAAAATATAATGGAAAGTTATTGATTTCCTTGAGTTCGAGAATTGGCCCTTTTTGAAGTTATACTTCTATACGCGCGGTCGACGTTGGAAATTTGTACGGGAGTGAATCAGCAAAATCATTACATATGTAAGATATAGGTAAGAGAGAGAGAGAGAAGATATATTTTCTCTCTCGAGAATAAAAATGTTTCTTTTGTAAATATATTTAATATTTATTAATATTATTATCATGGTAAATTAAACATATGCGTAAGTAAGTTATGCATATTGTCATTTTTAAATACTTATGAATAATGCATTTTAATTTGTATTATATTATTATATTGAATTATGTTGCAGTGTATTGTATTGTATTTTTATATTAATAACAAAATAAACAATGAATTTTATTGCAGAGTATGTGTAAAAAAAATTGCATTCAACTCCTTTTATACATATATGAAAATAAAAATATATATTTTCATTAAAATATTGATTCAATCCTT